TGTATATGTGTCCAAGTGTGTGTGTTGGTTAGTTTTTGTCAACTTGACACAAGCTGGAGTCATTTGAAAGAAGGACCCTCAATTGAGGAAATGTGGCTACCAGAGTGACCTCTGGGCAAATCTATAGGGCACTGTCTTGATTAATGATTAATATGAGAGGGCCCAGCCCACCAGGAATTGTGCTACCCCTGGGCAGGTAGGTGTGTAAGAAAGCTTAAGCAAACCATGGAGGAGCAAGTCAGTAAGCAGCACTCCTACATGGTCTCTGCTTCTTTCATATTTTGCCTCCAGGTTCTGCCTAGAGTTCCTTCCCTGATTTCTCTCAGTGATGGAGTGTGGAGTGTGACCTGAGGATTCAAACCCTTTCCTCTTAGGTTGACTTTGACCAGGGTATTTTATCACAGCAACAGTAATAAAGGGCAGAACTCAGGCTCCCATCCTAGGATGACTGAATTCATGAATGGTCACTGGACAGTGTCTGCTCTTATCATTGGTGTCTGTTTCTCTGAACACTCAGGAGAAAGACTTGAGATAAATTCCAGATACCAGTAGCTACTATCATCTTCAATCCCTAAGGGAATCTTTCTCCAGCTCAGTTACCTTTCCGGGATTGCCAGGAAATTCTTTCAATTCCCATTCACCCTTCTCCAGGAGCATGCATCCAATCTAGATTGAGAGGCAAACTCCTAAAAAGCTTCAATTTTAAAGGCAACTGCAGAGGAGAATCACAGGAGTGGTATGACTTCCAGGATCCAAGGTTAATAGGCTGTGGATGCCACTTTCTTTGTCTGTGTTTCGGCAGTTCCTCTAAACTACTATCATTCAGTTTGGGGAGAAGAGGAAAGTGTGAATGGCAACAGCTTCAAGGAGGAAGGGAGCAATGCTTGCTCTCTCTTCCTCGTGCTCCTACCACTCCTACCCTGAAGTTTCCCCCACAGCTTCAGGTCCCAGTTATATGCAGGAGATATCAGAAAGCCTATTCAATGTGATTTCAAAATTATTTCCAAATCATTACAGCCAATTACTCACCTTTGGGCCCTGTAATATAGTTTGTTCTCTGCCAAACTGATGATTTCTCTTGTCAAAAAATATGATAAATTCGCCAGGGTGTCTCTTATTCATATAGTTGAAAGAATAGAAATGAATGAACAAGCTGTGTCATGAGGAGTACATCTCATGTTATATCAACATCATTATTTGGCAGCACCAGGGATGGAACCCAGAGCCTTGAACATGATAGGCAAACCACTTTACCACTAAGTCCCACCTCTGGTCTAGGCAATGTTTTAATTAGAAAATGACTCAGGTGATGGTGGCATACACCTTTAATCCCAGCACTCCAGAGGCAGAGGCAGGCAGATCTCTGTAAATTCCAGGCCGGCCTTGTCTATGGAGCAAGTTCCAGAACAGCCAAGACTACACAGGGAAATCCTAATGGCTCTCTGGTTAGGAGCATGTGCTGGGGCTTCCAGAGGACCTGAGTTCAGCTCTCAGCATTCATGTCAGTTTCACAACCACATGTAACTCCAGCTACAGATCTGAGGATCCACTGCCTCTGACCTATGTGGAGACCAGGTACATACAGACGTATACATAATTAAGAAATGAAATAATCTTCAAAGTATAAAAAAGAATTCACCAAGACTGGAAACAGTGTTAATGTGTGTTATAACAATTTGTGCCGAGTAAGTGGACTGGGGTCTTTCTTTTAAAGGGGTCCTTTGTAACTGCATCCACACTAGTAGTCATGGAACCCTAACCCTGAACAGGGTACTGCCTAAGTGCATTCTGCCAGGTGACAGGGGCAGGCTGGCATAATGCCTGAATTCTTACACTGTGTGTGTCCCTTTATTTTTCTCCCAGTTTTCCATGATAGAATAACCTCTGCCCTACAGAAGACTGCAGTCAACCTGAAAGGACAGATGTTCCCAGAAGCAGGAATTCCCAACAGGTGTCTTTGTCAGTGACCCCAAAAGAATCTGCAATAGTGTGGTTCAGGCATTTACACATGGACTTTTCCAGATGAATAGCAGAGCCCAGGAAAGGCTAGAAAGGAAGTTCTTATACGTTAATGTCAACCTTCCAAATGATTACTTATTTATTTGTTTGTTTGTTTGTTTATCTAGGCAGGGTCTCCTTATGTTGCCACCTCCTGCCCTGGTCTCCAAAGTAGCTAGGGTTATGAGCATGAACAACCAGGCCTGACTGGAAACCTGGTGGTAGGTGCTTTAACTTCACAAGTGAAAGAACCTTGGAAAGCTTCAGCTAGAAGCTCCTTTTAAATTCTTTTTTTTTTTTTTTTTTTGGCCTTAGTCTTTTTCTTACACGGTCCTTTTTGCAGCCCAGGCTAGTCTCAGACATGTAGCAGTCTTCCTGCCTAATTAGAGGCATGAGTCATTATGGGATCGGTTTCTCTCTTCCTCCCTCTCCTCCTCTCCCTTTTCCTCTTTTACTCTTCCTCCCCTTCTCTCTTTTCCTTTCTTAGAGCCAGTCTCTAACTAGCTACATGGGGATAGGGTGTGGAAGATGTTAATGACCTTGAATTCCTGAGTCCCCTAACTCTGAGTACTCGGTCATAAGCCAGCAATGCCACACATGCTTCCCCTTTTTAGGTTCAACTCCCCAAATTCCCTAGTTAATTCCCACGTAAGTAATGCTTTACAACTATAGCTGTACTTGTGTTCTGGTACTAGGAGAAGTGACCCTGGGGCCACAAAATTGGAGCCGATGCAAAGCTCTGCCTAAGCCTGTATCCCCAGCACACCTCTCAGAACTTCACTGTGTTAAAAATCAATAGCTTCGCCTGGCATTGGTGGTGCACGTCTTTAATCCCAACACTCGGGAGGCAGAGGCAGGCAGATCTCTGTGAGTTTGAGGCCAACTTGGTCTACAGTGTGAGTTCCAGGACAGCCTCCAAAGCAACACAGAAACCCTGTCTTGAAGAAAAAAAAAAAAAAAGAAAAGAAAAAGAAAAAAGATCTAGGCACATCTATGTCTACAACCTCAATTGCCCAAGGAAACAGGCAATTGAGTTGTTGCTGATCTTCAAGGAACTGGTGAGGGGACCCCTTGAGGATGAGTGTCAATCTCATCCTTGCTGGCTGCAGATGTAGATTCACTTGGGAAACCTCTTTTAATAGGCTACACTTTTATCTTCCTAAGGAGAGTGCTCACTCTGAGAATCAAGCCTTCTTGATGAGTCTGTCTGACTAGAATCACAGGTCCCCAATCCTGGACTATCCCAGCTTGACTTCCTCAGGAAAAAAACCTTCTGAGCAAATGCTTGCTCTCCAAGGACATCGGTGAAGCTTTCTGCTGCCTCCTATTCATTCACAGTGTCTTTAAATCCTGCTCCAGGGGCTGATGAGATGGCCCAGCAGGTAAAAGTGCTTACTGCCAAACCTGACTAAATTCAATCCCCAGGAACCACATGGTAAAAGGTGAGAACAGATTCCCACAAGTTCTCTTCTGACACACACACACACACACACACACTAATTGAATGAATAAATAGCTGGGCGTTGGTGGCGCACATCTTTAATCCCAGCACTAGGGAGGCAGTGACAGGAGGATCTCTGTGAGTTCAAGGCCACCCTGGTCTACAAGAGCGAGTTCTAGGACAGCCTCCAAAGCCGTAGAGAAACCCTGCCTCCAAAACAAAACAAAAAATTGAATGAATAAATAAATGTTATTATTAAAAAAAAAAGCCAGGCGTTGGTGGCACACGCCTTTAATCCCAGCACTTGGGAGGCAGAGGCAGGCAGATCTCTGTGAGTTCGAGGCCAGCCTGGTCTACAGAATGAGTTCCAGGACAGCCTCCAAAGCCACAGAAAAACCTTGTCTCGAAAAACCAAAAAAAAAAAAAAACAAAAAAAACAAACTAAAATCCACTGGGTGGTGATGGCACAGGCCTTTAATCCAAGCAGCCAAGGCAGGTGGAACTCTGAGTTCAAGGCCAGCCTGATCTACAGAGTGAGCTCTAAGACAGTCTCCAAAGCTACAGAGAGACCGTGTCTCAAAAAACCAAAACCAAAAACCAAGCAAACTAAAATCCTACCTCCCTGGTATAATCGCATACTGGAAAATTAGTAATTGAAGGTTCTCTTCTATATGAGAATCTATCTAAAGAATTTTTTAAAATCCTACTAAAGTTGTTGGCAGCAGCTACCTTCTGGGGGTGAAGGGGGTGGGCAGCTAGAGAAAGTCCCAAGAGTAGGATCATTACAGGACAGTGAATCCTGCCTGACCTTGGCTCTTCTCCATGCTGGCCACAGAAGAGCAAGTTGGGATGGAGTCATTTGCCCCCTCCAGCTCTCAACAAACTTCTGAAATTGGCAGTCACACGTGACATCCTCAACTCTGACACTGACATAGAAACTCCTTGACTGTCTCACGTTAAGCGATTTTGGTATTTTGGCTTCAAACTAGCTTAGCAGGATTGAAGCACTGCTAAAAAATCAAATTCATCTGAGAATAACTTTAAGTTGGGAATTGATAGAACTGGAGGCATCTGCCCAGAAGTCAAGGAAGGACCCTGGGTTTTGGTTTTCATTGCTTTTCATTCCGGGGGACTGAACTTGTACCTATAGCTTTGCACATGCTAACTACTATGTTCTGAGTAAACATACTCAGCCCTTGGGTGGTTGCTGTTGAAACAAGGTCTCATATAGCCCAGGCAAGCCTCTAACTCACTCTATAGCCAAGGATGACATGGAACTTTTCTACTCTTGACCTCTAACCTTCTCATCCAGCAACAGCCACATCCTGAATGTGTTCAATACCGCACATGTTTTAATGCTGTGGATAATTGAACCAATGACCTGTTAAGCAAACACTCTGCCAACTGAACTGAACCCCAGGTCAGCCCTTTGGTTCTTTGAGGTAGAGTCTCACTGTGTAGCCCAGGTTAACTTGCTATCTTCCTTTTGCAGTCACCAAAGTACTGGATCACAGGTGTGTTATCCCCACCTGATGCCTTTGTTATTCATTGTTTTCTGAAGGCCAACAGTCAACCAGGCACCCGGGAGAACACCCTGTCATGTTCCTTTATCCTCACCTCTACCTGGCAGCTGTCTCCCATTCTCTACAGTGAAGAAAGACTGCTCTTGGAACCATCTGGATCTCCTACCAAGGTGGCTGCTGCAGAAGACTCGTCCTGGGAACAGGTGCAGCCTATTTGCCTTGCTCTTGAATCTGGGCCTACAACTTGCCTTTACCCACAGAACCCGTGTGGCTTTCTGAGGTCTGCAAATCCAGGCTCTGGGAGATCAGCTCCCCCTTCCCTCTGCAGGGATCCTCTGTATGAAGAAGATCTGGCAGGTTGGACAGGTCATAAGTGACCTAAGGAGAGAGAAGAACCGGCCAGCGCCCCACAGGCTGCCTCAGTTACCAGAAAAGTGATACCCTAGACTCCCACTCCAGTCAGCACCATGTGGGGGAAGGAAAAGCCATTCCTGCCCCAATTGCATGCATAATCACGAACGATAAATGGTGGCCCATAGCTTTTAGTCACCATGTTTCTGCTTGGCTACACAGTGATAGAGTCCCGACTTTACTTATGTGCTGACTTCCTTAGTTTTAGAAAAAGTTTTAAAATTTAGTGTGTGTATGTGTGTGTGCATGTCACAGGGTGCTGGTGGAGGTCAGAGGACAACCTGAGGGAGGTGGCTCTCTCATTCCTCCAATGGGCCTTGGGGATTGAACTCAGGTCGTCAGTCTGGGCAGCAAGCACCTTTACCCACAGAGCCATCTCACTAGCCCATTTCTCCTACTTGGTGCTGGGCTTTGAACACAGCCTCATATGTTCTCTGTGAGCACCCTACTACTGAGCTACACCTCCAGCCCTCAATTCTTTTCCTATTTTCTTTTCCTTTTCTTTTTGAAATAGCATCTCTCATAAAATACTTCACCTGGCCAAGAAGTCACTTTGTAGCCTTGGGTGCCTTTAGCATGTCAGAGTCCTGCATTGACTCAGCCTCCCATCGAGCTCAGCTCAGTCCTAACTTGTGTTGTTGTTTCAATTTTTAATACATTTTGCAGGCCCGGCGGTGGTGGCGCACGCCTTTAATCCCAGCACTTGGGAGGCAGAGGCAGGCGGATCTCTGTGAGTTGGAGACCAGCCTGGTCTACAAGAGCTAGTTCTAGGACAGCCTCCAAAGTCACAGAGAAACCCTTGAAAAAACAAAAATATATATATTGCAGTGGTGGAGATAAGACCTAGGACTTTTTACACACTGGACAAACGTAAATGTTCTATAAGTAAAACAGAACATTCTCCACCCCCACCCTCCACCTGTGTGTGTGTGTGTGTGTGTGTGTGTGTTGTTTTTGAGACAGGGTCTCTCTATATCGTCTTGGATGGCCTCCAATTCACAGAGGTCAGATTCCCTCTGCCTGCCGAGTGCTGGGACTAAAGGCTTGTACCACCATGGTCAGCACCCTTTGAAAAAAAATAACGTTTTCATTTATTTTTTGAGAATTTTAAGATATATTTTGATAATACTCATTCCACAGCTCCTCTCAGATCCTTCAATCTCTATCCTTTTACTCTGAGTTTTGACCATTCATACTCTACCCTTACCTCAATTTGAACTATGTTTTGTTTTTTATTGGGATAAGGTCTCTGTATCACCCCAGCCTGGAACTGGCTATGTAGATGAGGTTGGCCTCAAACTCATTTTATCAGCTGACGTCTGGCTCCAGGGTAATGAGATTAAAGGCATATGCTATCACATCCATACCTAATTCATTCTCAATCCTTAGTATACATGCAGCTAGTTTGCAAGATCTAGGTAATCTTTATAGTATCCTCTGCATCTGTTTGTTTATAAATATTTGTGTAAAGTTGTCCTCTGGTATCTTGCTTATTCTCCGACAAAACTGCATCCAGAAGGGACTAAGAAGCAACTTCCAGAGCTAGTTACTATGGAATCACTTAGTGGGAGGTTTGGGAAACAAGCACTGTTATAATAAAGCCAGACTCCTGGCTGTAAGGGTGGCAACAAGGAGCCACCTAAACCGGTCTTGGTGGTGCACGCAAGTGGCTTTAACGCCTGGGGAGTGGAGACTGGGTGGAGGAGGCTCACCACCTGAGACCTAGTCTCCAAAACCTTTAGGAAAAAGGGAAAGATCCAGAAGAACAGGCAAGGCAGGAAGACTGAAGCAAACTCAGAAAGCACGGTCTTGGTCTGTTGTTTTCACATTCAATATTACTTTGTCTCTCAACATGCCGTCCCTAGACTTTCCCCTCAGTGGGTAAGCTCAGGATATTTGGGACCTCTAAGGACTTCCTCATTCCAAAACAATTCTTTGAATTTTTCCTTCAAATGCAAATAAAGTCACTTACCATTTGGATAGCTGTGATTAAAGAGAGGAAGGCAGTTTCTTGAACCTCCTACAACTTCCCTTTTTCTGAGTGTGGGTTCAGTCTTTTAAAGGCAAATGGCTCCATCAGAGATCTGGGTGGATGACGGAGAAGATGCTGACTGAATTCCCCAACAGAAAATAGTTGAAAAGGAATCAAATGATAGACTATCAAATCCCACACGAGTTGACATTACCCAGCTCTTTATAGTAAAATGTTAAGTACTTAATATTTTATTTTCATTGCGGGTCAGCATGCAATGTACCTCACAGCTATTTGTTCTGGGAACAAATGTGCATATGCTTATTAGATTTAACAATCCACAGCTCACAGTTAGTAAAGGGGTCAGGCTAAGCCTGACTCTCTGGAATGAATAAACCTCATTTGCACTTGCGGTGACAAAAACACTAGTTCTCAAACCAAGAGGGAGAGTGGGGGTTCTTCGGGAAATGGTAATGAAAAATTGCTGACTGGGTCTCCACCCCTCCCCCACTTCCTTTCCCTGCCTCGGTCCTTCTGAGTGAGGAATTATTTCTTTCCTATGTTTTCAGACTAGTGGTAGGTGTTTCTAATTTTGAAAATGTACTTAAGTTTCGTTAGCACAGGCTAGCAAACTAGAACTCAATGTGCTTCTCCCACCTCAGCCTAAATGCTGAGCTGACCGGCTTACCCCACCTCACCCGGTTTCTCTCTGCTTCCTCTTCACAAGTACCTTGTATTGGTTTGTGCACCTCTACCCCGTGCTAGGCAGGTTTTCTCTGAAAAGGCAGTCACGGCGGCGTATACCTATAGGACTTTGGAGGCGGAAGTGATAGGATCAGGAACACAATAAGTTCAAGACCACAAAGGCTAGATGAGACCCTGTCTCAAAAAGCAAAGCGAACTAGGAAAAGAAAGGTTTCTGATGCCAAGCGCTGAATCACCACCGGTTCAGTGGGAGTGTAAGAGCACGACACAGCTGACTAACAGCCCCACCTCCTCCGCTCCCTCAGCCACCTTGTTCTAGCCCTTCTCCGGGGATGTGGGGTGGGAATTCTGGGCCTCCGCTCTTCTCCAGTTGATGAAATGCTTCGTCACCACTGTCATCATTGGTGAAGGCGAGGATGAAGGCTCGTCTTCAATAATAAGGCATGACTGTAATTCCTCACCCTCTGGCTATTATTAATCGTGATTCATTTCGTGAAAGAGGGAATAAAGGCCTGTGTACTCTCAAAGCTCAACTAAACTGGAAAGATGTCAGGTTTGGGCGTCCAAGGGCCTTCCCTTATCCGGGGCCGTTTTCCAGGGCAAATGAGTGTATTCTCTGCGGGCAAGACGTCTGCCCCTAGCCAAGGAAACAGATTTCCCTGGTACAGGGGGTGGTCTTCATAATCATAAAAACTTTCATGGCGTGTTATTGACAACATGGACGAACGTAATTGTACACAGTGATAAAAGAGAAATGACTAGGGACAAGTTGCTGAGAGATAGAACATTTGCTTAGCATCAGTGAGGCTATCAATTACGTGGGGTGAGGGACAAGATTGACAGAATTTAGGATTTGCAGGAAATTGCTCAAGGTCACTGCTGGTCTACTGGTACACTGCTGGGGGCCAGGCTTACGGGAAAGAGCACCAGTGGCCCTTGAGCTCAAATAAGGAATATGAAACTCTACAGAGTATAGTGGCCCACCCTTATAAGGCCAACACTCAGGAAGCAGAAACGAGGAATCACTGAAAGTTTGAGGCTACTCAGGGTTACATGGGGAGACTCGGTCCCAATAAAATCAAAAGGAGCTCGTGTAAGGATTCAGGCATTTATGCTGGCCTGCCTCTGTCACCTGGCAGAATATACTCAGGCAGTACCTTGGTCAGCCCAGGTGCAAAGGACCCTTTAAAAGAAAGACCTCCCGCCGGGCGTTGGTGGCGCTCGCCTTTAATCCCAGCAGAGGCAGAGGCAGGGGGATCTCTGTGAGTTCGAGACCAGCCTGGACTACCAAGCGAGTTCCAGGACAGCCTCCAAAGCCACAGAGAAACCCTGTCTCGAAAAAAAAAAAGAAAGACCTCCCACCCCTACCCTTCTCACACTTAAGCTCTCTCTCCTGAGGCAGACTGGACTTTTCCTGTCTCCCTCTTTTGTCCTTTCTGTCTCTGAGTCTCTTTTCCCTTCCCTTACCCCTTCCCCCTTCCCTCCCCTTTCTAATAAAACTGTTCATTTAAGTGCTGTCTGCCAGGCATGTTTATTGTGTGTTGTGTCATCCTCCCCTGTCATGCCCTCCCCCCCACCTCTGTCCCGTCCGGACACCCCCCCCCCACTTTGTCACCTTTGCCTGCCCTGGAATCAGCCAAGGTTCACTATGTACTTTATCATAACAGATGGAGAGAGAGATGGTTTGACAGGTAAGACATCCTGATCTTTCACAAGTCCCAAGTTTGGTTTTGGGCACCCACATTGGTTGGCTCATAACTTTTCAACTCTAGCTTCAGAGGCTCCAAATCTCTCTTCTGGCCTCTGAAGGTACCACAGAAGCATATAATTTAAAAATAAAGTTAAAGGGGCTAGCTAGAGAGGTAGTTCATCGGTTAAGAACACTGCCTGCTTTTTCAGAGAACCCGGGTTCAATTCCCAACACCCACATGACAGTTCATTGCTGCCTGTGACTCAGGTTTCAGGGCATCATGAAAACACACATGAATGCACATGAAATGAAAATAAATTAATAAAAATAATAGTCAAAAAATATAATAAAAGTACCATGCCTTTAGGGGAGAAGGAGGAGGTGATATGGTAGGACTAGCCTTTTATCCCAAGGCTTAGGAGAGGTATGGAAGAGAAGGTGGTTGTGTCAGAAACTCAAGGCCAGTCTCAGCTAAAATACAGTCTCACAAAAATACAGAAGAAACAAAAATCCTCCAAACTTTTTTTGGGGGAGGGTTGTTTCAAAGCAGGGTTTCTTTGTGTGTCCTGACTGTCCTGGAACTAGCTCTGTAGATCAGGTTAGTCTCACAGAGATCCACCTGCCTCTGCTTCCTGAATGCTACCATTTAAAGGTGTGTACCACCACTGCCCAGCTTCTCCAAACCTCCTTTAAAAAGGCTGATTTTGAACAATCACAAGACCTGGATTTAAACTAAATGTTCGATTTTTGTGGGAGGGTGTGTGTGTGTGTGAGGGTGTGTGTGTGTATGTGTGTGTGTGTGAGTGTGTGTATGTGTGTGAGTGTGTGTGTGAGTGTGTGTGAGTGTGTGTGTGTGTGTGTGCAGATGTTTTGTGCTTGCCTGGTGCCTGCCTCTGGAACTGGTGTTGTAGACAGTTATGAGTTGTCATGTGAGTTCTAGGCATTGAACCTGGAACCTCTGGAAGAGCATCCAATGTGCTCTTAAGGGAAGAAACATCCCTCCAGGCCTATGTTTGCCATTCTTAACATACAGTATTCAGTGTTAGGCAAGCTATCCTCTTTGGTTTGTGATCTCTGTGGTGCTGGAAATGGCAGTTGGCCTTATGTGTGCTGTGCCCAGGCTGTTCCTCTGTGCTATTTACCTTTTTTTAAGGGCAAGTAAGCTTTCAGAGGACCCGAACTTGGTTCCTAGAACCCATATCCTCAGCTCACACACACACACAAATACACATAATCTTTTTTATTTTATTTTTTGGTGTTTTTCAAGACAGTTTCTCTGTATTGCTTTGGAGCCTGTCCTGGAACTTGCTCTGTAGACCAGACTGGCCTTGAACTCACACTCTGCCTCCTGAGTGCTGGGACTAAAGGCTTGAACCACCACTGCCTGGCTACAAATACACATAATCTTTTTTTTTTTTTTTTTTTTTTTTTTTTTTTTGGTTTTTCGAGACAGGGTTTCTATGTGGATTTGGATTCTGTCCTGGAACTCACTTAGTAGTCCAGGCTGGTCTGGAACTCACAGAGATCTGCCTGCCTCTGCCTCTGCTGGGATTAAAGGCGTGTGCCACCAACGCCCGGCTTCAAATATACATAATCTTAAAAAGAAAAGAAACACTAGGTGTGTTTCTTAATGCCAGCATTTGGGAGGCAGAGGCAGGAGGATGTCTGTGAGGCTAACCTGGTCTATATAGCAAGTATAATTAGGACTACACAGGGAGACCCTGTCCTGAAAAAACTAAAACCAAAGAAACATGCATACAAACAAGGAAGGAAGGAAGGAGGAGAAAGGAAGAAAGAAAGAGCAGAAAGTCAGATATGGTGGCACACATAATCCCAACATGGGCTATGCTGCCAGAATCTATTTCAAACAGCAGTAACAGAAACAACTTCCCCCTGCCGGGTGGTGGTGATACACACCTTTAATCCCAATAGTTGGGAGGCAGAGGCAGGTGGATCTCTGTGAGTTGGAGGCCAGCTACAGAGTGAGTTTCAGAACAGCTAGGCTGTTAAACAGAGAAACGCTGTCTCACAAATACACACACACACACACACACACACACACACAGAAAGAAGAGGTAAAGCCCCACAATAAAGGTAAAGAAAGGA